TAGTATTAACAGTATATACACTTATTGTCAGTACTATTCCACACACATTCTATAGAGTGAACATTCTATACAGTGTTCAAAAATGTATACCAACTGCTCGACCACTATATGGAAAGTTCACTGTATATGTATTTCACGATTGAATAATTAATTTAATAACAAAAACAAGAAAGTGTTTTCTGTGTTCAGGCAATGATTTAATTGTACACAAAAAACAATTACAACAGTTGTGAATATTGTGGTGAATATACAGTCAAATGTAGTGCTGTTCGGCAATTGTGATTGCAATGGATGCGTGCAATCGCTAATTGTGTGAATCCCTCCCCACCTTATTCTCAATTCTGTTACTCTTCAATGACTTACACCAAAAAACGTTACATTTTATGATTCAATTCATTAGTTGTCTCATCAGTTACGCCAATATTAACACCAATTTTCTACATACAGTACTACAGTATACTCTATAACAGTAACTTTACTATAATATTCACTACTCTATAAATGCTAATCAATAATCAGCAAGAATATGAACGATAATAAATTGAGCATGGTTAAATTATGGTTAGATGGGTGTGAGGGGGAGGGGTATTGTGTAGGCAATGAATAGACATAATATTTGACAATAAGTTAGATTAAGCGATGAATTGCTATAAGAATTGTGTGCACAGTATATACAGAACGCAATGAGTGAATGACCCCTACATTTGGCGTAACTATTGATGAAAAGAAAACAACAATTATTTTTGTTGTGAATCTGTCTCTAAATTGTATTGAATTCAACGCTTAATCCCAATCATTGAAAGCATTGGTTGAATGAATCGTTAGACCGAAAGTGAAATCCAAATAATTGATAGAAATAATGGCAGAACTGTTGCAAAGATTTAGCGGAAATCCGTTCACAACAACTGTTGGGCAAAAAATCGGTAAATATTTTTTGTGCGACTGTTTTGGCGAAGAGTTTTGATGATAATTACCATCTGATTGTCACCTCACAGAACAGGCAACTGATCCCTCGCTGGCCTCTGAGAACTGGGCCCTCAATATGGAAATATGCGATCACATCAACGATACAGACGAGGGGTTTGTCTCACTTGACATTATTTTCAATAATTATCTAATTGTATAACTAATGTGTGATTTGAGTGGTGTTTGTATTGATTAATAAATGATTAATTGTATTGTATTTAACGGCAAACCATAGGCCACGAGATGCTGTTCGAGCCATTAGAAAGCGATTGCAACAAAACTCGGGCAAAAACTTTACTGTCATTATGTTTACTCTAACGGTTAGTATCATTATATTCCTTATATTCCTTACGATTTTATTTGATTTTATTGTATTTAACCACTCATTCAATATATAATTAGTTATAAATACATGCATTTTATAAGTATGTTACATATGTTACAATCTGTCGTAAATGGCCATGCTGTCTGTCCGTATAGAGCAATAGTTACTGTCCGTGATATATTCCTAATATAGTAAATAATTACATAATATTTTATATGCTTTGCTTATATTGTATGAAATATTACATTAGTATTAAACAGGAAACTGTGATTGTGTTATAGTGTCGTCTTATTTGCCATTAAATATATTAATTATAATAATTGTTGTATGAATTGGGGTTTAGGTATGCATTGATTTATGAGGGGAGGGCTGACAGGCTGTTGGCCTCTAAACAATCGCTTACATAAGTCAACATTACTTACAGTTGTCGTTATTCTGTGAGTTAACTATCGCACAAAATACTGTTAATGAAACTAAATTTGTGTGAAAGATTGGTAATTTTTCCGACTGTAGATATTATATCTATAGAGCGTCTGTTGTGTCCCTAAACACAAAACATTTAACGGGTGTTTCACTTAAATTGTTGTAAATATTTTGAATATTTAACAAATGAATCATTTGAATGCAAATGTAAGATAAATACAGTGGGAACTCTATGCTGTGAACCTTCTATGCTGTGAACTACTCTATGTTATGAACCATAAACCAAAATATACATCACATAAACTTAATGTTAAAACCACCTCCATGTTGTGAACAACTCTTTGTTATGAACCAAAAGTCCTGGACCCGATCTATTCACAGCACAGAGTTCTGCCTGTACAGCATTTTTGAGGATTAATATTGCATAGAATAATTTGTATGAAGTAATTGTTAAACTAATATTTCACTTGCAGTTTACTTCAGTTAATAACACATTTCATAAGAATTATTGCTTAGAGATTAAAGCGCTTAACGATAGCAAAGAATAAGTATTTGAATACAAAAAATTGTAACTTTTAGAGTAAACAACAATATTATTGTTAACCAATGTTAACGATAAACTCATTTAACATATATTTTTGGATTAAGTAGACACTTTACCTTTAATCAAATGCTTAACTCAAGAATTAGTGTTATATATTACATATACAAAATTTCTGAGTTAAATCCGAATAAAAACTTTTCCCCCAGTTTTATTACACAAACTTTAATTTTAAGGAGTCTCTCAACCGATTTAATGTACAAATGCTCAACAGTTGAGTGAATCCGACAATATTTAGTGCATAAACTGCTGAAGTGCTTAAAACTACAATAAGAAAGCTATTGTATTCAAACACTAGTTTAGTTGTCGTTTGGCATTAAAATATAATATTTCACAAATTTTTACGTCAATCAATAGAAAAATTTATTAGAAAAATCATTATTTTAAGTGAATTTAATTGCAATCAATAGGTATTGGAAGCGACACAATTCTTAACACCGTTTTCTAAAGTAAACAACCAGTGATTGTTTCTGAAACAAGTCCTTAATCAGTTTTAATAACCAGGCTTCTTGCTAGGCGGCTGACATCAGGTCCTTTTCCAACCATATAATCTTGGATTGTCAAATGATTATATGTATTAACAATTGACAAATGGTTTGTGACCACCGAATCAGGTGTTAAGTCTAATCCAGAGTTGGGCGCAGGCTTTTAGAGGGCAGACAGAACTGCAAGGAGTGGTTCAGGTGTACAGCGAACTCAAAAGTAAAGGCATTGAATTCCCGGCCGCCGATACCGAGACTATGGCTCCCATACATACACCACAAAGAGGCAAATCTGCGACATCTCATTCTTCCGAGTCATCGGTTCCATTGCCGAGCGCGGCATCAGTGGGTGCTGTGGCGGCGGCCGCCAGTATTCAGGCCCAGCAGCCGAAGACAGCGTCGGGCGCGAGGCGTGCGGTCGCGGGACCGATGCAGTTGAGTCCGGAACAGTTGGCCAAACTTCGGAGTGAACTCGACATCGAACAAATTAGTGATTTATTTAGTTAGTATGTGTAATATAAATGTCGTTAATATACAGTAGCTTAAATGTTTATTGAGACCCCTAAAATTTAGGACTAAATTTAACTAAATATAATATAACGTAAATAATAACTCTTATACGTTACGAAACTTATTTTTAGTTACAAATTACAATTTTTGCTGTGAAAACAATGACCGAGTTAACCCGGGTCAAAAACAATTTTAATTTTTAACCCAATAAGTCAAAAGTTAACCATGAGTCAATATGGACAACACTAGATACTATTGGGTCAATCGATAAGTCTTTGTCTTCGGGTAGATGCAGTGGAGGTAGAAATGTAGAATTAATTTTAAAATTTAAGGTAACATTCCTAGGCACCAAAAACCAAGTTTCATTAAAATCGGGTGATTGGTCTTTATTCTGGAAATTTTTAAACTAAGTCAGGCAAACTAATGTATTCCTATGGAAAGGTGTCTGTTTTGGTGATTACCGATGGTTGAAATCGTGCATTAATTGATCATGCTCAAACAATACTAGAGATATTTAAAAAAAACCCTACTCTTCCAATATCGGTAATATGTATTGTATATAACTATATCCTATTCAATGTCCAACTCTGACCAGTGCCTGAACTGTGGCCACTTAATTATCGGTCGTTGACCCGACTGGCGCCCTGTGTTCGGTCGGTTTGCATTTGATTCCCGTTATAATTGATGTCGTGATAACTGCTCTAAGTTGTTGTCGGATAACCAATAGTGAACACCAATAACTCAATAATAACTCCAAACATCTCTTTTAAAAAATATTTTTACTTTAAAAACATATTATTTTTTTGGAAAATATTGTGAGCTAAATTTTTTAAAATATTTCCGACCGACACATTTTAAAAATTTCCAGAATAAAGACCAATCACCCGATTTTAATGAAACTTGGTTTTTAACGCCTAGAAATGTTACCTTAAATTTTAAAATTAATTTTACATTTCTACCTCCACTGCATCTACCCGAAGACAAAGACTTATCGATTGTACTAATATATAACTTTACATGTAATGTATAATTGCACGCAATTAAAACAAAATTCCACACAAGAGGTGCACTTTACTTAAATCAAGATATACTGTACTGTAGTTGTAGTGGTTTGTGAATTCGAAATTAGAAATTAAAAAACACTTATTCTGCCTTAAATTACTATTTGTTAATCTTTGCCTTATATTAGATACAGTTTTAATATTTATAAATAAAATACGTTTTCCAATAGAAAATTGTCAAAATTGTCAGTTTTCCTTATTTTCATTAATATAACATTTGTAATATTTTAAGCCTTTTATCTATAGTTTAATCATTTACAACCATTTAGGTTTAATTCTATCATTTATTTAAATAAAATATTACTTAAATGTTTTTTTTGTCTAAAAAAATTCAAATTGTTTCAAGAATTCAATGCTATATTTTTGAATGAAAGCTATAACTGTTTAGTAAAGCACTTAAAATTCTGTTAGTTTTCATAAATTATACACAATACAAACATATAATTCTTAACTGTTCAATATTGTTTGGTCTCTCTCTCTCTCATATATTTTTGAATGAAAGCTATAACTGTTTAGTAAAGCACTTAAAATTCTGTTAGTTTTCATAAATTATACACAATACAAACATATAATTCTTAACTGTTCAATATTGTTTGGTCTCTCTCTCTCTCTCTCTTTCTTTCTTTCTTTCTCTCTCTCTCAATAATTTGTGGGGTTTTTTGAAAGATTATGATTGAAAATATGAAAAACATTTAGTAAAAATTGAATGAATAGAATAATACAATACTTAATTTAAATCAATAACAAACTAATTGTATAAATAAAAGCTTTTAAAAACTTTTGTCTAACCCTTTATTATTGTAAATAAATGTGTGAATCAGTTGTATTTGCTTTTAATAACTAAAATGAAACAAATAAACAGAAATATTGTATAAAAAGTGAGGAAAACATATATAAAAGCTTTGCGTAGGACTTAATTCAGACACAAACGCCCAAAACGTTAATAATTACTGATTCACAGACACCTCCAAAACCTGAACCGATCGGAGACTCCATAAAAGTAACATAAAGTTCCTTCAAATGTCGAGTTCGGCCTCTATTTGCACAATACGTTACATTCAAAACACATATTCATTTTGGTTATAATTTATTTGCAATCTATTGCTAATGTTTTAAGTGCGAGTCCTGTCCAAACAAATCTACTTATATTTTGTATGTTTTAAAAAACACATTATATTTTCATTACATTTTGATGCCTTCGAAAGTAAGTTTTAATTGTTTTTTAATGGCTTAATGACTTTTAAACATTCAATTTACTAATTGTTATTCATAATTTAATTTACAAACTTAGCCTGTATCAATTTATTTGCAAACAATATTCCTAACTAGAACTTATTATAACCATTATGCGCTGCAATTTTACATTTATTCATTACTATTTTGCAGTAGTGTTTATAATAATTTTAATAATTTAATTAATTGTACTAGATTACATAATCTTGTAACTTTGCAAAATATTTATGACAACAAATAATAAAATATATGTTACTTATTGCTTATAGCATTTAAACGGACACTCGTGTCGTATTCACGGACATCACTCTAACCACAATCATAACCATAATTTCAATCAATTACCCGTCACTCCAACTAAAGTAATATATTTGTCAAATAAATCATTGCTTCAAATGTTTAAAATATGAACTAATTTTTAGAGAAGGGGACCAATTGGTGCCGAGTTCTCGAGTCCCGGACCAGCTATTGTCTCATTGCCATCAACTTTCGGTATGAATTGTATTCATTTAATGCATATTTAAATATCTAACAAAATATTAAGTCAATTATTCAAAGTTAAATATACAGTGAATGGCTTTATTTGAAAGTTTTTCTTTTAAGTGATAATTCGTTAAATATTAGACATTAAGTCAAACCTAAAAAAGTTCTTATAATTTATTTTTCGACAAAAATTCAAACTAAACTAATCATATTTTTGAAACGTGTGGAAAATACCTAACAATCTATTTATTACATTATTATAAACCCTTAGCTAATTTTTGGCCAAATAAATTCGAATTTCTGGATTAAGAATTTGTAACTTTCATAATAAACTATTATTATTTAATTATTTATTCATATATCGGATAACAATGTATACACTGTATATAATCTTAATACATGTATTATATGTACCTCATTTCAAGTTAGCAGATTAATCATTAATTTAAATACAGCTCTATTTTAATATAGAATAATATTTTAGAAAATATTTTTAATAAAGTTTTACTATTAAAAAAATTATCAGTAAATTCTGAATAATATATACACCAAGAAAATTATGCAGAGATCTAAAGACATAGCGGGGGGCCTATTAGCCAATCATCACAGTATTGACAGTGAATTCATTAATATATTAATCAAAATTTCGCCAAATTTACAATTATTTTATATTGTGTGCATCATTTACAAAAATTATAATGTGAATACTTATGTTTAAATATTTTTATGAGTGATTCATAAGATATAATATTTATTTAGTCGTAGATTCTATGACATAGAATTACTGACAGCGCGTCAGTTCTCATTTAGGTACAATTATTATTATGTTTATTTGTGATATAATAATACAAGAATTGACTTACATAGTAGTTACCAGATAAATTTAACAATGTAAATTGTTCATGGTAAATTGTTACGATTTAAAATATAATTAATATCAATATTACAATTTGTAATTATAAGTCAATATTTTGTTATAATACTGTAGAGTATATTATTTGGATTACAAAAACTTATTTTGTATACAATTAAGGGTCTAATAGCAGAGAGGGTCGGAAGACGACGTCTCCGGCCTATACTTTTGGATCGAAATATGAAAAGAAAATAAACGCCAAAACTCCCGGTTTGTTGACTATTGCTGTAAAACGATATATAAATTACAATT